ATATATATATATATATGAAGCTGAACAAAAAGAGTGAACAATCTAAACGAGCATGATTTTTGTACGAAAGCTTTTGTAGAACTCTTCGTTATGTGAATAGGACTGTGTGATGTTCACGAACTTTGGGATATCCCTGTTGAGCAATCCTGATTGGAGGCACTAACCGAACATACTTTAGAAGTCAAGGGCCACCACATGACGCTATTCAAACAACTAACAGAGGAGGGGAAGCAACCTCTACCAGGACAAAAGGCCACTTGATTCGTTCGGGTTGATATTTCCCTCCGGACCCTAAGACGATAAAGAATCAGCGATGCCAGAAGCCTTGTTACAAGAGGAGTCAGACCAACACCAGTATGATTATTGCATTCGCTGTGATTAAGCTTTCTGAATATGGTCACTTGTTGACTTACAGGAACTGTCTGTGACACTGTCTTTCCCCCATATGGAAGCAAATAAATTAGACAACTACTAGCTGATAAGTGTATTACCATCCCTGAGGGAGGCGGATGGAAGTGAGCCAAGACCAGGAGCTGAGTGAGGATATACAGTCATGTATGTCCGAAGTTGAAAGGGATTTCATATTCACCGTCAACTCACGAGGACTTTCCGATGACAAATCACGTAGTCGGGTGCAACACAAATCTGCCCACAATTGAGGGTTTTCATCGCCATGATCCGTTTGGCCGCCATCACCAGATCGACATTGGAATCGACGTAAACAGGGCTTGGAGAAAGAAGTTAAGTGGAGAGGTTATATAAAGTAGATCCTCTCTGGGCGAGACATTGACAAAGAACATTAAAGAAGTATCACCGAATCGGAGATGTCCATTGCGGAAATGTATAACCGGCAGTAAACCATGATCTCAACATACGGCATATAAAATTGTTCGAAAATAAGCAGCAGAAGGCGTAGCGGCCGCACTCTGTGTTTACTGAAGCACTCCTTACACATTCATTTGTATGGGTGGTTAACAGATACATGCAAAATACCTATTTGGTGGCCTCCCAAATGAGGCTTTCTTTCATACAGAAACCTGTCATCGTTCGGGAACTTTTCGCTTAAACTGATGTGCAGAAAGCCGAACTCTCCCCTGCAAAGAGACTCGAAAATTTTGGCACTACTTCTTTCTAACGGTGATGACCTTTTTCAGAAATCGGGGAATACAAACATTATTTCGCGAGCTGATATTGTCTTGGTGGATGTTTCTGATACTGCCTAGTGATAAGAACAGCTGAAACTTCACTGAATAAGAGTGGTCTTATGATTCGTGTGCAATACAGGAGCGTAAGGTCACCGATAGTTGATTCATTTATTTCGACCAATGTTAAATACAGTTCGAAGTATTGTGACAACAAACGCTCGATTCTGTGGCCTATACTCCATCTGAGTGATCTAGGCCCTGAAATGAAAATGCCATGGAGAACTTGTTCCTTACTGTCAGAGATGAACGATGATGAGACCGTGGATGATCGAAAACTGTTGGTAGAAAAGTGGTGATACTGCAAGTCGATATCTCATCTGCAATGAAGGAAATCAAGACGGGGAGTTTTGAAATACCAAAAGAGCTCACATGGGACTGCTAGTTTTCATGAATGATAGCGCAGCGACTGTTTTTGCGTTTCGGATGTCCTAATAAACAAGCATTCAAAAGTCAGGAAGGATGTGTATCGTTCAGTCCTTCAGGACAGAGTGCGAGCTCTTGAATATTGCGTATACTAACTGATTTTTCCATACGTGATTTACAGTATTCGTGATCAACAAAATACCATTGCGATTGGACGAACCGCACATTAAGACGACGCTTATGGAAGCGTCCAGTGCAGTGACGTTCCACAATAAATTTGATCCAACTGCGTCAGTATCGTACACTTCAAACGCGTTATAACTCTACCAGGATATGGAATGTACTTGAAGATGTACGCAACCGAATGCAAAACACCTGCACTAGATATCGAAGGGTTCATGAGAGAACTAAATAAACCAGAAACGGATGTTATGCCAACCCTACTTGCGAGTGCCTGAGAAGCGTATCTACCAAGTTCTACAAGCACACAGTGGAACAGCCAATCGATACAAACCTAAGCCTTAATTTTCTTTTCTGGGCCATAGGACACATTCCAGCTATGAGGATGCTCTGCGAGTGATGTCCAAACGGGTTGTGACTTCGTTCTTAGCCTGGCCTTTGGGGAGGATGGTTGAGCCGAGGTACCTGAACCCGTAAACATTCTCTACCGCCACTCCGTCTATTGCAGAAGGTCCGTTATAGTTGGGTGCCATTGGAGAATTCGGTTTTGGGGCGTTAACCTCAATGCTAACAAAAGGAATGTACTACTGAAGAACTGCTGTTCATCGTGTTCATCTGCAGCGAGAAAACCTATATCGAGGTCCGTGATCGATACATTCCGTCCAACCGCTAACCCGCAGTTTCCACCGACAGCTTGGCGTATTATACAATCAAGCGCAAAGTTGAACAGTTTAGGCGGTAGCGGACATTTCTGTCAAACTCAAAACGATTCATTGCCATATATACGGAGATGTGCTCTCGTGGCTGCGTAGTAAGATCTCCCAACCTGATAAAATTCGCAAGGATACCATTCGATTCCAAAATATTCCAGAGTGATTCTCGGTTCGCAGAGTTGAACACCATCCGGAAGTCGATGAAGCAAACAATATTGGCTGTTGGTGTCACTGTTCTAAAGCACAGTGTAGCGTGAAGATATGGGAGAACAAGTCTGGTTTGATGTGTTGCTTGAATGTCGCTTGATAGCAAGGAGATTCAAAAGCAGGGTGAAATATTTTAGGAGCTACATCTAATAAGTTTACTCCACAACAGCTGCCACAAAAACAGGGTGGAGGCGCATCCACCAGATGAAAAGGTTTCACAGTCCAAGGCTAAACAGAAAAGCTCACGCACTGGTCGGGGAAGTGTAATAGTGCATGCTTTATAAACCTAGGATTTCAGCATACCAATAATCTCAGCTAGTTCTTCTTTCGTTGGATGGCGTTGTACGGCGGAGGGGACTCATTCGAGGGTGAGAACGTGGGCTGATACGTGCGATTAACAAGCTTTTTGAAAGGCTTTGGTCGTTGGAGAAGTTTCCAGCTGGTGCTGGAATGATCCCCGGATGTAATGCGTAGAGTGGGCTGAACAGATAACCGTCTTGCGGAGGCTCGTCAGGGGACTCAAAATAAAGTAGGATTCACCGAAAACTGATGGAGTTTCCGTGGTGGTTAAGCAGCGACTTCGATCGTTTTTTGACCAACTTGACTGAATGACGATGGAGTATGCGGTAGTCCGCCGCGTTTGATAATTTCGCCCCCTTAGTCTGAATTCGCAACCGCATGACGCACCCTGAGATCCAGTCTTTGTCAATGTGACGTAATTTTTAAGTGACCAGTGGCAGCAACCTGAATCCTGCCTTTTCTAAGCAACCATTGTGTACCAACACCATCAAGCAGTACAGGACATACTTCGAGTGTTTCGCGGATGGCGTCGGATTGAGTTACCGCCAATCCAGGTAGTCGAGAACAATTCCAAACAGGACGAGTTTCCAGGTGAGTCGTCGGGTGGAGCCTAGGCTTTCCTCACACGAGAGTGCGGTCTGATTCTCTTCGGTTCCTAGGTTTTGCTCATCTGAGGGAACGGGAATACTCTACACATGGGGCTCATCTAGATCCTACTAGGATCTAGTCAACACAGTGAGCTGTGCGACCATCAGTTGAGTGCCAAGTTATTAGGGTGTTGGAAGCACACGTTGGTGGCGTTCAACCGATTGAAGTCGGCAAAATTAAGAAGCCTATGGTCACTTTCACAGCGAGAGTCAAGACAGTGCTTTCGAAGAATGAGGGGCATCGAGGCATCGCACAGTTTGGTGGTAGCATTCTGGTCACCAGGGGCTACAAGCAAGTCGCGTCTCGGTATCGTATCAGTAGCTGCTTGGAGTGGTCGTAAAACACGTCCTGATGTGAGGCTCTGAACCGTGTGTCGATGTGTATATGATGGTGGTGTTGAAACGTGAGAGGTTTTGAATGACCGATTGTTCGAATACCAGTAGCGTTTTGAGCGCGATTATATTGTATTGACCACGAGTGTCTTAAGGATCAGTGATAGAGCCAGAAGGAGCGGTCTGTTCTAGAAATTTGGACTTTATGGAAACCGTGTCTAGTTATATAGACTGGACAAACGCATTATACCGACCGCATAATTGTGAAGGGCATGCACAGCTCGAGGTAGTTCAGGGGTAAACCGCCTAACCGGAAGGTCTGTGGTTCGAATCCCACCCTCACATAACTGAGGTGTCTGATTTCGAAGTTCAGGGGTCGCCTAACCGGAAGGTCCGGTGGTTCGATCCCACCCTCACATAACTGAGGTGTCTGATTTCGAACTCGAGCTGAAAGAAGAAAGTTTTGGTAGAGCAACTAGCATGCCCTTTTAGAGGAAAAGGCAGTGTAATGGAACGTCAGGAACGCTGTATGGACTCACGAATACTGCGTATTTCAGTCTACTCTTTTCTACTTGCTTTACTGTCTTTGTAACCAACGGACTATCGGAGTGGTACACGAACCGCACACTGAGGCAGCGCTGCCGAATGCCCACGGAATTTCCCCTGTTATTGTATCATTCTCCTAATTTTCCCACTAAAGTTCGTTCAATTGCGTCAGTCCCCTGCATCGAAAGCATTACACTTGAAAGCAGGTGTTTCATCCAACAAACTTCAAGTCAACACAAGCACACATAAAAATAGCGTATTTCTGTCCAGTTGCCAATCGCTCACGGAAATAAGCCTTGAAACGAGATCACCACAAGTCTGGCTTGAGAGGAATAGGGGTTAGTTTGCAGCGTGCTGATAGTTTACTCGGTTGTCCCCCCCCCTTCATCAGTTGTCAAAATAAAGCATTGTCATGGAGCCAGCAGCTTGGTCTCACTTTTCCACAATCTCACGAGTAGGAACGAACGGCGAGTAAATAGCGGAAAGAAGACTAGGTCTCGACAATGAGATAGGTTTCGCACGTCGCTGACTGGAGAATGTAAACCAATGGAAAGCACAAATTATCGTTGAATGTTAATGAGTGAAGGGTATGCAGGCCGAGCAGCAGCCCAACTAGGACAGCATTACTCCTTAGTGAGTCGCATACAAGATCCTTGCCGTGGAAGTTAGGTGGATGAATACATACGAGAGAGAAAAAACAGTCCGCTGAATGAATGGGTTGCAACCGATTCCCCAGGCGGTGACCAAAGGGATAGTCTAAGAGGAGCAAATGACTAAGGGGTCAACTTAGAACCAACAGAATGGACGTCGGGCGGATGTGCAGCGGAGACAGAAACGCGTGAACTTGGTAGGTTTGAATGCAGCCCCGTCCAACGAACCTCAAACATGAGTGTTTGTAAAGTTAGCTTCAATGTACTTTTCAGATCACCACCGGTCCGGAATGACGTAGAATTTGTGGAAGAATAGGTCTTAGAAATGGGAAGGGCAACATCAAATGCATGGAGCGGATACAGCCGGAAATAGGAAGACAATGTGGGAGAGGAACAATTATGTTAACCCTGTGGATCCAGCGGAGGGTACTGTCAAGGGATAGCTGAATCCGAATGGGTTGCTAGAATGTTTCCGCCAAGTTCGCCAAGTCGGATGCAGTCCGTAGTTGGCCGTTTGGCAGTCAGGTCATTGTGCCTTTCTCGATCGAAGGCTTTCAAAATATAGAGTAACAGTTTAGCTGCACCAGACGAATTCTGGACAGGAGGACTATAATGTAATAGGTACGCCAATAGGTCAACATTACGACAATGGCACATGAACCCATACTGGTGACCGCTCAGGAGTCTGTTTGTTGACTTCCTCATCATGCATGGTCGAGATATCCGAAGGAACTTCGGACTAAATAGGAATGATGGGGATAGGGCGGTGGTTGTGTGAGTCAGATATACAGCTGAACTTGTGAGAACGGGTTGGGCCGAAACCATCCCAAAACAGAAGAGGCAAGATGATTGGATGGAACACAGAAGAAATAGGTGGAAAGGCCATCCTGACCAGGAACCCAAGTGTTTAGTGGCGAAAATATCGTGGACATGTAGGAATTCGTAGAAATAAGACTCCGCTTAAAGTCAGACAATGGTAATACAAGTAACAGCTGGGCGAAGCAAGTTGCTTTGGTGTGGAGGAACTTACCACTTGCCTCCCAGTTCCAACGTTACGGGGGTAAGAAATTTGGCAGCAGCCGTATACACAGCTCGACCACCAGCGGTGCCCCCCGTGTACATTATATGATCAAATCGCTCCGAGGCCAACAGCTTCTGGCACACATCAACGCCACCACAAAGCACTTGGCAAATTTTCTATGAAGAAAAACAGTGTATTAATTACTCACATTCGAATGGACAGTATAGGTGATATAGTAAGAGATTTAGGCGACGAACTTGGGCCAGCAAGTCATTCGAAACGGTGTATTTGGGCTGTAAAGTTAACTAATTACTTCTTACTACGCGACAAAAAAAATAACCAGAACATAACCGAACTCTTTTCAGAGGGGTTTGCATTCGAAACATTTGGGCTGTAAAGTTAACTAATTACTTCTTACTACGCGACAAAAAAAATAACCAGAACATAACCGAACTCTTTTCAGATCAGAGTGGTAAACAATCGGTGGATTTATTGCTGGGCAACGTTTCGCTTTTGACACAAAAGCTTCGTCAGGCCAAGTGAGTAAGTAAGTAGGTTGATTGGGTTTTTAAGGCAGTCAGGGAACCAATCCGTGAGATTCCTTATGACTAGTGACGTGATCAGTGCTGGGTGTTCAGTCTGATGTCCCTGTTTGTTGATTAGTGCGATGACTAAGCTTTACGATAGATCGGTTAGGGGGAGTTCGTCTTTATGATGAACCCGGATTTTTTCAGATAGAGCCAGACGAAGTCCTGGCTAGTTTTGACGTCAATTCGATGTATACCAACGTCCCTAAAGCGGACGCTGTGGAAGTAGCGAGAAGACTTTTACTGGCAGACACAACGCTGCAAGAACGAACGCAACTCTCCGTAGACGAGATAGTTGAAGGCATAAAGGTATGCC